TATCATCAAGTCCCCAATCCTGCAGGATGATCATGAGGTTTGGCCATGGGACTTCCACCCTACTCTGCACTCTATTATGTTGTTTTTTTTCTTATTTTCAGTATACCTGTTAGTCCCTAGTGATTGCTAACAGCAGAGATCTCAGGTAACGTTACTTAGGGAACCATCCTGAAAGAGATTATCCACCATACTCCACTCTGGAGTATGTCCACCTTTAAAGAGGTAGACGTTTCAATAGGACATCTCTGGTAAATATTTCACATAATCCACCCTGAGACTATAGTCACTCAAACTTCACAATATGTGGAAGGAATTGGGTAAGTCATATGCTGTCTATTAGGATTAGAGCTCACGGGGCTCTCAGGCTGTTTGCTATTTATTGGATGAGATGATTGACTCATAGTTCCAGTATTTAGCAGAATCATCTTATCAGTCCTGAGCAAGACCTTAAGATTAACAGCCAGGCCAAAGGAGGAAGTTGGATAGGAGGGAGCATACCATCTCACCAGGATAGCCACTAGATAGAGAAGGAGAAATGCTCTCTTTATCAGTCTAACTACACTAGAGCAACATGCGGAAAATCTCAAAACATTCCCCAGTCAGCATGGTTTTGTCATGGGTGAAAGTTGTGTAAGCATTTCAGCTAGCAAGTCAGCTGTAGCTCTGTTCTGCACTATGCCTTGAAAACATAACCTCAGTTGTATTAAACAGTTGTGATTTTTGGAGACTCTAAACAGAGATCTAATATTTAGACCATATAGCATAATTAAAGAGTCGGTATGCCCTGGAAGGTGAGTTCCAGGAATGGAAGGTTTCCTGAAGAATTAAGAGGATGTTCTGTTAGTTATTTTAAGTTAAAACAAAACAGATTCAAAGATGGGAAAAGAAAGAGATGCACTCTAAGCTGTGAAGATTTCAGGATCTAGAAGATGGAATGACTTCAGCTAAATGTAGATTGGAAAATGCGGTTAAAAAAAAACAGCAAAATATTAAGAAATAACAGTAGATGAGAGATTGTTGACAAAGGCTCAAGCCTGTCAAATACAAAGTCAAAAAATACCCTGCGTAAAGATAAGGGTCAATCCACAATATTAACTGCAAATATTCTTAAAGAGGAAGTGTGAATTATATGTGTACTCTTTGCTTGTCCGGTATTCTTTAAGTTGGCAGCCTTTGAAGCCTTAGGATAGTATTATATGGAACATATAATATACGGAACATCTGATTAAACATATGAGAAGTTTTAAAACCTGTAATGTAGACTCAAGTGAAGCCAGAAAAATGTACGCTTTTAAATCAATATTTTTTTTAATTGCAACATATTCATTTTTGTATTGGCTTGAAATATGTAGAGTATTGTCAAAGCATTCGCTGTCTGAAATTAACTGGAAGATAGTTTTAGATCCTGGAAATAGTCTAGGGTAACACAGAGACAAAAAGTTACAGGAGAGCTACTCTATTCAAGCTATTGATTCTGTTACTGATTAGTATAATTGGATACTTCTCTCTGCTTTATTTCATTCCTAATTGGACTTCTCTACTCCACTTTATCTCCATTTTACCTCTTTGCTTTTGTCTGTTGTCACAAAGCTGAAGTTCTATGTTGCCAGTTCATCTCTTTTCCATACCTCGGGATGGTACATGTGTCCAGAAACACGGTCCAAAACCAACAGATTTATCACAGCCTAAATGACAGCTGGCTGCATGCTGAGTAAGTTCTTAAATTCACAAAAACTACATTTTTGCCAAAACATGCGAAGTTGCAGCATTGAACATTTTATTGGGATTGTTATCTTCAAATGAAGAATGACTCCACTGGAAAAAAATATATAAATACTTAATATTAACTTCAGACATCCTTTTAGCTTCTTGTTTGGTGAAACTTCAGAAAACATAATTAGCCATATATTGAGAGATATTTGCCAAGTATAAATCCAATTTTTGCAGAAGATATTTAAGCACTAGTTGTCCACAAATTTACACTGTTGGAATCACAAGAATGTTTTGTTTCGTTTTGTTTTTGAATAGCAGTGTTATTCTTCATATTTATATGGGTAAATATTTGTATATATGAAGATTGTAGAACTGGCAGTACTAAAGACTGAAATCTTCCATTTGTTTACATGGGAAGATCTGTGCAGGCAGAAGGATTTGAATCATCCCCTAATTGTGTCACTTACGAACTTCAAACGTTGCATTGGGATGATGATGTTCTCATAGAAAGAAAATCAGAGCAGGTCAGGAACATTCACTCTTCCCCACAGATATTTGTAGTGAAAACAGAGAGAGATTAATCAAAAACATAGACAGAAAATGTTAACTTTTTTTAACATAAGTAAGAGTTTCTGTGTGAAAACTAGAGGGCTTCCCTCCCTCCCCCCCCACCCCAAAAAAAAGGAAATCTAAATAAACAGTAAAATTTCAAATTAATTTAAAATCAACTGAAAGATTAAATTGTACCTGCCTAAGTAGCGGTATGGAATTATAGTCAGGTGCCTCGTGACACCTTCTCATCTTCTGAATGGGATTTCAGTTTAGGCTACTTTTCCCAAAATAGAATAATTGCTTCTCCTCAGGAACTTTTCTGTGAAATGAGTTTGGTTTATGCTGCCCTGAGTAAGAAGTTGGGATTATTTGAATCAGATAAATGTCACCTTTCTATTCTTATTGAACAAAAAGTAAACTGTCTTGCTATAAGAATGGTGAGATTAGATTTTTATTTTCCTAGCCGAAGAACTTCTCTTTGGGTCCTCTCTGGCTGTAGGTGGTCTTGTTTGTTCATGAGGTCATCAGATTTAAGGACAAGATGTCTTTTAGTGTTATGGTCCCTGTCATGGATGGAGCAGAAGTGAAGGCTAGAAGAAAAGAAGGGAGAGCGTTAGGGGCATTACGTGCTGCTGGCAATAAAATTAGGTTTCCTGCATCCTCTGTGCTGTCTGTCCCATCTGTACTGGCAAATTAGAGGTGATGAAAAGTGAAGCTTCTTGGCTGCTTCATTTTAAAAACAACTCTTACATTCTATTTTCACGTATTTGTATTGATGGCATTAAAGTCACATATTGACATGATAGAGAACTTCACATGTAAGTCATTCTCAGCTCACTTTTAATAAATAGCATATTTTACTTACTTACAACTCCTTTTCTAATAACTCCTATTTTATAACTCCTGTTTTTTTTTTTCTAAATGTCAGTGACAATGTGTTTTGCAGCTCACAATGCATGAGAAAGGGATGTATTAAGCTGATACATAAAGATACATGTGTGATAGGTGAATACATAATTTTTTGAGCAACCTAAGCTAAGATCAATCCATTGAGATAAATCACAAAATTGCTACAGATTGGTTCATAATTGTCTCATGTTTCAATATACAGTAACGTTGCTGTGGATATTAATTTCCAGGATCAAAAAAAGCAATTTGGGGGGAAAAAATGGTATGTTTAATGTCCTCTCACCAACTATTGACTTCAACCGAGTTGCTCTATAAATCTTTCAAAGCACAAATTCCATAAGTTTGGATCTTTCAAATTGGCTTGATCTGTGAAAATGTAATCCAGTTTTATGGGTTTTAAAATTTATTTCTAATATTTTGTTTGTTTGTGATAGCTTTAAAGGGGAATAATTCTCTGGTTTCAGTAGAAATAATTGAAAACAGTATAACATAATGTGCAGCAAAATGGAAATCTACAGTATCACTTTTATAGCCAAAGAGTAGGTAGGATTTTAATGGTTTTGTTTTTGTATTTTGTGTGTCGTATTTTTTCATAAGACATCCAAAACAACATGACTTAATTGCTACATTGTTATACATTGAATACAGTACCTATTCCACAGTGCTTCTAAACATCAAAGAAATATTCTCTGACTTGTCTGACATTAATTAGCCATAATTCTTTAGTATTTATACAGCAGTTTGATCCTTGTGACCTGTGAATTTAAATGTTCTTTTTTCATTTTCCATTTAAACATTTGACAGCTTTTAATAACTTAATTTGTTCTGAAAATATTTTTACTTCAGAATACATACTAATATGATATATAAATAGTAATCAATCTAAAGAAAAAACATGAATCCTGCAGGGCCTTTTTTTCTTTTTTTTTCTTTCATTTTGTTTTTTTTTTCTATCCCTAGTATCCAGATGTACAGATTAGTAGAGACAATGAACAAGTCTCAAAAATTTGAGAGATATAATCCATCCTCACACAGAACACAAATTCTGCTGAAATTGCACATTTAGGGTTATGTTTTTCCTCTATCAGTTCCATTAATATCAATGAATAACGGCTTCCCGTGTGGTAATCTAATTATGGTTTGAAATAACTGGTGAACTGGACCACTGTCATGGATCAAGGAGGAAATTAATTATAGGAGGGTAAAAATGAAATGTAGGGGCATGGGATCCTAACTGGAAATAATGAAATAATGAAATTCAGTCAAGTTTCAATTGAACGCTTGTGACGTCTGCACAGTGAGTTCTGTTGAGCAGTGGAACTTGCAGAAGCTCTAGCACATGGGATATTTAAAACTGAGTTGGACAAACATGAAGGAAAAAAAGACTGTTGAGAACCAATTTTTCACTGGCAACGAGGTGGACTGGATGATCTAATATCTCATTTCCACTCTTAGCGTCTACAAGTCTGTTTGAAAAAATACTTGGAATTCTGTATGTTTTCTAGCCTCACTTGGGCTTCTTTTGTATCTAGCAGCAGGGGCTCATTATCCTGTGAATGTACTTGACAGTAAATAGCTTCATTTTCAGTCTTTCTTATTGTACAAAGCTAAATTTTAGGATATGTGGAGTCAAATTTTTGCCCTAATCTTGAATACCTGCTTACTTGCAACAGCAAAGAGAGCTCAGCAAATTAGTTGTCCTGGGGATCACAAGATCCTTAAACTGGCCAACTGCATGTGAAATTTCTGATGATGGGAAATAAGTGATGACTTCATTATATTTTTACATTTTAAAACTAACTATCTGTATTTTGTTTCCTTTGCAGACCATCTGAAAGGAGAGGTAACACGGCGACATATTCAAAGAGCTGCTCTAGGTAAGACAAAAGCACTCAGAAGCAATAAGTTATCTCCCTAGGCTTAATCTGATTGTTGAGCAGATTGTACTTTTTCAACAGTTAATGTCATGATATTTCTATATTCTGTGACATAAAGGATGCAGACTTTTTGAGTTTTGCCAGAGATTTGGTTCAAAAAGCATCTGATTTTATGTATGGTGAGGAAAATTATGCAAAAGTTTATTTGTTTCATATTGGATTTGTTATTACTTTCTGGTTTTTGTTTTTGTTTTGCCTTACTTGTGAAAACAATCTCTTTAGGTTGACCAACACAGAAACAGAGAGGTCTGAGATCATAGAATGATAGAATGGCTTGGGGTAGAAGGAATACCAAGTGTCATCAATTTCCAACCCCCTGCCACAGACAGGATATTTGCATTTAAATTTTTTTGTGCTTTCTAATGACTCTTTGTTTCCCACTGGTAGATACTGATTTGTGCTGAAGCTGAGCTTCTAGTTAGGCATGTTGCCACTGTCAACCTAACATCCTTTTAAACTTTCTTCATTCCAGTCGGTACTGAAAGCATATACTGGTCATTTCTTTCACATCCAGTTATAGAAGTTGAAAAGTTATTCCTTTCAGCTTCTGTTGACACAGCTGTGAAGCTAAAAATGTCTATGCAAGTTGTTCACATACGTGTAAAGTTATCCAAATTTGGCTTAAGATGCCTTAGGTGGACTCCATGGGTTTTGTACTGAAAATAGCCTGGTAGTGACTATATGAGAATTCCACTTTTCAGACAGTAAACTGCAGAAAAATGTGACCAAATTCTGCTGGGGGCAATAACAAGTTAAGCCCACCTCACCTAGATCCTGGGTTCACTGTTGAAGCTTTTCTATATCTCTCTGGATGGCATCCTATCCTCAAGGTCTTATACGTATTGTATAGTAATTTCTTAATACATAGACATTTGTGTTGCAAATGCTATTTTCATTCAAAGCTGGTTTTCATAGAATAGTAGGCATAATTTTTTAATGTCCTTAGGAAATGACAGAGTAATGACCTTACTAGCTATTCACATTGGAAATATTCTCTTATATTATCTCCTAGCACATTCCACAACGGTGCAGGAACCTATGTGCTTTTTGCATTTGTTTTGAGCATTGCTCTCTACTTACCATCACAAAGTCTGGACTGCACTAAGTGTTTTCCGTTCTTTTGTTTCTCCTTAAATAGTCATGATTTTAAATATTCTGGAAATTGTGACAGTATTTATGATATGAGATGGGGAAATACTGTCCACTTTTTGGATGAATGTTCCTCCAAGGAGTAACAAGTGTCAACTCTCCCAGAGACTTTCTTGATGACTAGAAAGTGATCAAGATATTTTTAAATAAAAGCAGCCTGTTAAAAAGGATAATTGAGACTCTGTTGAAATTCCAAAATGAAATAAAACACACCATTGTTTCAATTAGGAGCCAAGTAAACATCTTCCAGCTGCCTTTTTTTTCTTAACTTAGATCATATTATGGTTAAAACTCTGTAGGAAGCTATTCTACTTGGATTTTGAAGAGTATAGATCTGTTTCCTCTATGGCTGTGTTTGAGATGTGAATTTCTCATTTACTGAAGGACAACTCCACTAGTTAGCCCATCCTTCTTAGCTCTCTCTTATAAAGCACCATATGCTGTTAACAAAGGATGAAAATGGATAGGGAGTTGGAGGCAAGGATGTATAAGCATTGAATAATTTAGGTAAGGTTATAAGGATTCACTCTCAGCATCACTTTAATCTTCGTTAATGATTAGAATGACTTATCATGCAGATATTTTATTCAGTAAGATCTTTCAGAGTAACAATCAGTCTGAAAGGACAGGACATGGAATGACTGAGTTGAAAATTATGATCTTTTTTTCTCACTCCTTTCCCAGTCTTTCTTCTGCTCTTTATTTCCTTTTCTACCTTCTCATTCATCTCCTCTTTCACTTTTCCTAAATCTTTTCTTTTTATTTCATTTTTCCATTCCTCTCAATTTCTACTTTCCTTCAACTTTTTCTCTACACAGTATCATTTATTTTTGAATTTTCCCTCTTTTAGGGCTTGTATGATTCTTCCCCCTATCTTTTCACTTTTTTTTTTGCATGATTAACTGTATTTTTGGGCAGTATTTGAAATTAAATAATTTGTACAGAACACAAGTACTGACTGAGCAAAAACACTGGGTCACCAGCATGCTTCTGGGTAGAAAAGATGGCAGAAAATGTCAGAAAAAAAAACATCTCCTGGGTTTGCAATGTTTTACAAGGTAAATGCATATTTTTTAGAAAGTCATTAGCTTAAGACGCTTTGAACTAGCATTTCAGTAAAACACTCTTCTGGTTTTACTTCAATTAAATGTGATTTCAAATAGACAGGCTAATGTAACGCTATTCACCAACAGTGGGGAAAAAATGAATCCTAAACTGGAGTCATCTGGTGACCCAGGAAAATCTATGGCATATTGTACTGGGAATGCAGTCGTCCTGGTAGAGCCAAACACAGTTTTTGTCTTTTCAACTGCACATCAAGTAGAGGCCTCTATTAGGTCAGCACAAGTTAGGAACTTTCATAACATGCACCCGATTGATATGCCCATATCAACAGAAATGTTCAGCAAATCTTCACGTCACACAGCTGTTCTGTCAGCTTCACACTGATCCTGCAAACTTTATACACAGAAAGTTCAGGAATCTGGAACACTTGCTAAATGAAGGTAAACTGATACAGCATCTCTAGCACCGCATGCCTTTTTTTTCTGTGCGATGTCATTGTTTCGTGTACAGCTGTCCAGAAAAAAATTAAATCTGACATGAGTAAAGATGGCAAACATGGATCTGCAAAAGGAATCTGCATCTTCTGTAAGAATTTCAGCATAAAGGCCCAGTTTTATCAACATTTTAGTTAGCAAAAAGTCTTATCAAGTTCATAACTTTACTTCTGGAAGTAAGATTTTGTATTTCTTCAGATTTTCAAAAATATATTCCCAAGTTCTTTTCAGACAAAACTGCCTTTGAAACAAACAAACAAATAAACCAATCTGCTATTCCTCATGAAAAATGAGGTGACTGGGTGTGTCAAAAATAACAGGTATGTTTCAATTCAGAGAAATGTATGCCAAATCAAATGTATTTGATTTGTTATAGAGTTGCAAATGCCTGAGAGCAAGAATTTGGGGATCTGTTGTTTTTACATTCAGATTTGCAACTCACATTTGTTTCAAGCAAACGTAGGGAGCTTTCTCTTGATCTATGGTCCCTCAATAGCCTTTTCTATATAATCTTTTCCTATGGTTTCAAAGCTACATACCTGTTCTTAGGATATTAGCATTAGTTTATGCTGTTGCTCCTGTGTGTTATGTGCATCTCTGCATTGTGCTTCATTTTGCTTCCTTGCCTTTCTTCTGTTAGAACTGAAAGAACAGCATTATTATTATTATAGGTTGGAGTAGGTGATCTTTCAAAGCCCCTTCCAATCCCTGACATTCTGTGATTCTGTGATTATCAGAATAAGTCAGCTGCACCTCAAATGGAGGCCTCTATTGGGTCTAGGTACTAGGAACTGCTGCTCCTACTTCCCCCAAATGAGCTCTAGTCCATGCCACTAGAAAGTTGGTGTGACCATGGTTTGTCTCTTAAGTATATAAGGGATACTTAGGAGTTGTACAAAATGTCTCTCTGCAATAAAAGCACAGCAGCCTGAAGACCACGGAAAACATTAACGAGGCTAATAATTAGTAACTGTCAGGAATTCATCTTCTGTGATTTCTGTGAATGGAAAGCACAGAGAACTTCCAAACTGCTGGCTTGTGTCAGACTTAATCTCTTATTTCAGTAAACCCTTATTTAAATAATATGAGTTCAATTTCTTTCACTGCTTTACATCTTGTAACTGAAAAGCCATTAAACTTTCTTCATGTGAAGCAGAATCTTGATCTGTACTAATGTAATGAAATGAGGAGACGTTAGTGGTTTTAATCACAAAATGACAGGAGCTGAGCAAAGTGGCGGTCTGTGTTTTCCCACACAAGTCTGACACAAGCCATGGAGAATAATAGATGGCCTGCTTTAAAGCCATCATTCCTGGCACTCAAAAATGGTAACGTATATAGGCTAAAAAAAGACATTTGGAGATATAATCAGTTTGTCTGAGCTGCAGAATGTTAAGGGCTTTGCTTTGTGATAAGAGAGAAAAAAGAAACATATCCCCACTACCAGTAGGTATCCAGGGATGCTTCCTAAAGCCGTGCAAATGGATTCATGCATTTTCTGTCCATAAAATATGCTATTTTTAGGAGGGAAAAAAGCAACACAGTCAGTTTGCAATGGCCTCAGAATTAAGGATACATCTCTCATATAAATTCACGGTTTTTTATATGCAAAATATGTCAATGTGTTGTGTTTTTCATTAATTTCTGCTTGAAATCTCAAGCAACAGCAGTGCTTCGGTAAAAGTTTGCTGCTCCCATGCATGCAGGGCATGGATTTTATTCCTACTATGACCTCTAGTGGTACCAAGGCCATTCTTTTTAGTGATGGGTTTTGTGCTTCTCTTTCTATACTAAAGTAATCAGTAATGCTTTGCATTAAGATTTATCTTAAGAACTCTGACAGAAAAATGGCAAAATGATGTTTCTTAAAAAGTGATGAATTTTAACTATTGCTCGTATGAACATACATTTGTAGCAAAACAGGCTGAAAAATCAGAAATTATTGCAGAAATTTTAAAAAGGCAAATTATTTTTGCCTTTTTAAAAATATTTACCCTGACAGTGACAAATACATTCTTGAAGTTGCTTTTTGTAATTGTTTTAACATATTAAATGCTTTTAGGAAGGTTCACCAAATCGTTTTTCAAGCAAATATTTGTAATACTGATGAGCAAAGAATTTTGAACATTAAGTCATTACATGGAATATTTTAAGAAGATTAGAAGACCTTTGTAGTTTCTTCTCATTGCCGTGTACTTAAATCTTTGCAGTTATTCCAGATTTGTTCCACAG